TAAGGTGCGATTGGGACACCATAAAAACCGGGTGATTTTAATAAAAAAAATATTTTTATCAAAATACCAAGTTTTAAGGTATGCGAAAATCCAGAAATCAGGTTCAGCAGTCAGTTACACGTGGGGAAGGATTAGCACCCCCATAAGCACCCAAAAATTGGTACCTAGTTGATTACCCAATATTTAAAATCAGAAATTTTGAGTTCGATCTTTATTTAATTTTAAAATCATTATGGATGCAAAGTTGAAAAGGGTATTCGTTTATTGAGACTGATAACATTCGATCCCAAGCGTAAATGCAGGAGATCAGCTATTGTGTCTAATAACCAAATATTGCCTCGTTTTTAGAAAACCATGATGCATTCTTTAAAAATGATGTCGACCTATTTCGGGAATCACCAGTAGTCACCCCCTAAGCATACTTGCGGGAGATATACCATTAATTCACTAATAAGTGAACATTGCCTTAGGTTTTAAAAGAGACAATGCAATCAAACAAATTTTTATTTACCCTAATTAAACTAAGGATATATTAAGGCTTTTTCTATCTTAAAGTGTCAAATTATGAAAATTAAGGAACCTAGAGGCTCAAACCTAAAAACGTAGCCTCTAATATTAATCCTATTTGATTTTAATCAATTATCGAATCGAATAACCGATATAGTCCCTCGAGTATTTACACAAGTAAGAGGATTATATTGAAATCTAGTTAAAAATGGAGGCTCTATTTAACCTATTTAATTATGCCAACATTAAAGTTCTCATCGAAGTTCGGGGACTAAAACGTCAAAGGACTAAAATATCGATTTATAAAAGACTTAAAAGTTTAAGGACCTAAATTGATAAATTCTAAAGTTGAGGATTAATTTAAAAGCTAATTATTATCTAAATTATTAAACTTAGAGTATTTTAGAAAATACTAATTATTAATAAATTTTAAAAGTCGAACAATCGATTCGTGTAATCAGGCATCTTATGCAAAAACTCGACTCGAATTTCTCCCTAATTAAGCTAGAGTGTCATCCTAAATTCTAAGTTTGATTCGAGTGTTAATCTAATTTAAAATTAAATCTAATGATTAAATTATGTAATAATAAACTATTTAAACAATTTAATTTAAAAAATTTAAATATAAAAAAACAGTAAAATAAAAACAACTTAAAATAAAAATAAAATAAGCATAAAATATGAAGACATAATTGCATAAAATAAAATAATAGTGACCTAAAATGCAAGAAAATAAAAGTTAGTAGCCAAATAAGAAATAAATAGTGACCAAAATGCAAAAATTTAAATAATAGTAGAAAAATCAGAAATTAACAGTGATTAAATTAAAATAAAACAAAACATAATGATAAAATTGCAATAAATTAGAAACGAAAAAGTCTAGTGACCAAAATGTAAAAACACGAAAAGTTTGGGGGACTTAAAACGTGATTATACCAAAAATTATAAAGCATAATTAAAAAAAGAAAATTATAAAAATGGTCCCTTCAAGTGACCATTTTATAAAAACACGGTAAAGTTTGGGGGACTTAAAACATTATTTAGCCTGAAATTCTTCTATAAATACAAACATTTTTATAATTTCATTTTTTGGTTTTTTTTTAAAAAGTGGAGAGATCTCCCTCTCTCTAGAATTTCGGCCACTCACCGGTCGTTAGGTTATCGCCATCGCCGGTGGCCGTTGGCCACCAAAATTTTTGGGAGGCTCGTCTCAGGGTCCTCATCACCGATATGAGCTTGGTTTGGTGAAAAACAACCTCCAATGCCATGAAATAAGTCGAGAACCCTTCGATTTCCACCGCCTGGATCTCCACCGTCCGCCGTTGATCGGGCCCAAATTCCATTATGTTGCTCGTCGGCTACCCCTCTCTCTTTTGACAGTTCGAATCTGTGAACCGACTCCCCGAATGCCAACGAGGCTCTGTCCGAACGGTAAAATGCACTCATCCTCTCCCTTTTTTCGATTATACTTGTGTTATACTTTTTGCTTTGTTTCGAAATAGAAAAAAAGATAAAAAAAAATTGCTTGAATCCTTTTTCTCCGAATAGCTAATATATATATATATATATATATATATATATATATATATATATATATATATATATTTGCTGCTGGTATTCGAACTAACACAGAAGAAACGGAAATAACACTACTTGAAAAATATAAAAAAAAAAGTGAGTGCTTTTGAAAAGAACAAAGTTACAGTGTTCTTTTTTCCTTTTTTGAATCGAGAGGAAAGTTTCCTTTGTTTTTTGCATGCGTTCTTTTTATACCCGTTTACATAGCATTTAAATGATTGATTTTTATTTTCTTCTTTGTTGCTTTTGCAGGGGTAGCGTGGAGTGTTGGAGATGATTTTTGCAGGGCATGGAGTATGGCAAGGGAATGGTGAGCTATTGATTGGGGGTGTTCGGGTGGCTACCTAGCTAGGCTAGACTGGGTCGGCTTTTGTTCTTTTGGGTTCCGGGTCGGTTGTAAAATGGGTTTGGGTAGTTAGGCTTAAGGTTTGGGTTTGAAGGGGTTTGCTGGTTTTGGGGTTTGGGCTTGGCCGGTTTTGGTTTATGTAATGGGGTATGTTATGAGAAAAATGGCGATTACACCCTGCAATAACCCATTTTTCGCTACAATCGTCGCTTGAAACATGAGAATTCGATTGTTAGGTGTTCTGGAGGATGCGAGCCGTCGAGTTTTCAGTCGATTAAAGGTGGTTGTGATGGCCGATGACAATGAGGAGATTGAAATTAGGATTTTTCGGGATTTTGAATTTTTTTTTGTAATTTAAAAAAAACTGGGGGTTTTAAATAAAAATTTTAAGTGGTTTTAAAAAATAAAAATAAATAAATTTTTATATGGCTGACACATGTCACTTAACGACCTAATTTAACGTTGGTTACGGTCCAATGACGTAAAAGTGTAACGTTGGAAATATCAGTCACCTGTTTTTATCGAAAAATTCTTTATGTACCTAAAATTAATTTTAGATATAACTTGAGCACTTATTTTTACATTAATCCTTTTGATTTTAAGTTCATAGATTATATTTTGGTTAAGATAAATTTTAAAGTATTATATATAATTATTATAATTTTTTTTTGTTAGAATTATTTTGGCTAATGAAATGTCACATAAAATTATATATTTGTTTTGAAAAAATATAATTTAGAGATTTAAAGTAAAAAACCGTGGTTTAAGAACTTATTTCGACTAAAAATAGTTTAAATATTCAAAATGTGGTTTTATATAATAGTTTACATACTTATTTTGATAAAAAAAAAACTAGTTTAAGAGTTTAAAGAAAAATATGACTTGATTTAAGTTTTTTGTGTTGAATAAAAATATAATATGTAAAATAAACTTTTTGGTCTTCTAACTTTATTAGTGTAATCATTTTAGTCCTTAAACTTTTATCTTTTTCCCCTTTAACCCTGAAACTTTTATTTTATTTTATCAAATTGATCTGAATCTAAGTGTAATGAAACAGTGATTACACCATTAAGTTGACATTAATTATTTTATACATATTTTCAGTCTCTACAGAACACATCTCTTATATAAATATTTATATTTATTATAGATCTTTATAATTTTAGAGGTTAATAACTATCCTATATCTATAGAGTAAATTATTTGATCATCAAGGATTTATATATATATTAACGCTCCAAATCACATTATTGTTATTGCTACTAGTGTGTCATTGAAAAAGTAAACTAAAATTGAAAATCTCAAAAATTTCCAAAATCATCATTGATTAGAAAGATAATCAATTTTTGGGGAAAATGCATGGCCGTAATTAAGAGCAATTTTGGACTCCAGAAGCAAGTAATTCCATACCCAATTATGGCTAATAAAAAGCTGAACGACTAAGAAGGCAATGAAGAGGAAACACAAGTAGTTGTTTTAAGTAATTAGGCCCCTAAATTTAGGTAGCGACCAAGAAAAACTTGGTTAGAAGAAATTGCCTGAAAGCTCACCAAATCAAACTATAGATCATTTAATTGGATTTGAATACTCAAAGTTAGGGTCTGATAATTAAAATTTAAGCGCCTCCTAGTTTCTCGTAGGCGAATTAATGGAGTTATATAGGAATTTGTATATTACAAATTATATAAAAATATAACATGGTACAATATACTTTATAATACATAAAAAAAGACACAAGTGTAATATTGACATTAGATAACAATGATCATCCTACAATCGGTATTGAATTCTTTTCAGCAATGCTTGTTTGATATATGGGCGGACAAGTTTATGGTTCGATAATTGACTTCTTTTCTCTTGGTTTTCCTACTTTCACATCCGGTCCATTCAATTATCTCATTGGTGCAAAACTCCTTCCAAATTTTCAAAGTGATATAGTAGGACTTCAATTCATTTATTATTATTTGCTAGAATTTCGGTGAACAAAAAATGCCACCCGTCAAAGCCGAGAACAGACAACATTGAATTTTCTGGTTTTATACATGTGACGCTTAATTTCCCTAATATACAGTTCTTCATATGACTCATTCTACATTAACGACCCATAATTAAAGGATAAACATATATAATTTGACATTTATTCTTTTTAATAAAAAAAAGTAGTAATATAAAGCTATTGTAGACCAACTCGGTTTTCTACCTGGTTTAGTCCGAAGTTATCCAATCCAGGTCAAACAGCCTAACTAAAGAGAAAAATCATTCATATACAATTTAAAAACGTAGTCATTAGGACTCTTTCTGTTGTTATCATGTATATGTGTATATAAAGGCCGTTTGGCAGTAGCATTAAGCATTGCCTGCTATAGTTTGATTTCTTCTTTCTTTCTCTCTTTTGGCCTCGAAGATTATCAACTTCATTGGTTTGTTCTTTCATTTTCTGGTGAGACTGGTAACTCTTCCTATTTCCTTAACCCTTTTTCAAACAATAAATTATTTTATTATGAGTTACGTTCGTCTCAAGGGTTACCGAATTGCATGTTTTTTGTGTGTCGATTCACAGTTGGATATAATGGAGAGCAGGAGGCTGCTTGTTTTATGGGTGACAATGATGATTGAGTTGTCGCTTTTTGTCTCTGTTCTCTGTGCCGAAATCCCACCCAGGTTCTCTTCCTATTATCACTTACTTCATCTTAATTTCTCAGCCTCAACAGTTCATGGGAAACGGAAAGAGAGAGACAGAGAGAAAGAGATTGCTTTTATGGCTGTTGCTTTAGGGTAGACCTAACATAATCTAAGGCTTAATTGTCTTTGACTTCTTTTTCACCCGTCTCGATTGATCTTGCCTAACATCATAGCTTTTTCACACTTTGGTTAAATTTTGACCTGTAACGGTGACACCATTACTTCTTATTGGACTTGCTATCTCAACAATTCCTCTACCTCTTTTTTACATTTGTTATTCCCAGGTTAAAGGATTGGAATAAGCGTTAGATTTCTGTCAAAAATAACGTTAGATATACATAAATACCCATATGGTTTTATTTTAATATATTCTTTTTTACCATACTGAATGTTTGTAATGCAGAAAACTCCTAAGGGATCATGACAGTGACACTCATGTTCGGTTACAAATAAATCACCGCGAGGTTAATATCACATTCCCCTTCTTGTATTTCTTCTGTATCATTGTATTATTAATTACCTAATCAACTTTTTTTTTTCAGGTGATTATTGACAATGGACTCGTTAGAGTCACCATCGAGAATCCATCTGGTTATTTGGAAGGAATTAAATATAAGGATATACGGAATGTGTTCGAAAGGAGAAACAACAACGACAATAGAGGGTATACGAACTGTCAAAAAAATTCCGGGGTTTTCATTAACTATCGTAACGTAAAAACATTATTTTTAATGGTGATATTTTTCGTAATTAATCATAGGTACTGGGACATTGTGTGGGATGGGGGTGCCTATGACAGGTAAGTTGTTCAACCGTTCAACATCAATGGTTTCATGAAAATGTGTCTTGCATTTGTTTTTGACTGTTTAATGTTCCAAGGCAGACTGGAAACCAAACATGTCGAGGTCATAACACAAACTGATGACCTAGTAGAGATTTCCTTTACTAAAAAATGGCACTCTAGGGACCATGGCAGGACACTTCCCTTAAATATACAGAAAAGGTACATAGTCCAACGCGGCATTCCGGGGGTCTACATGTACGGTGTTTTCGAGCGCGAGGCGGATTTTCCGGAGGCTAACATGTACCAAATAAGGATTGTGTTCAAGCTCAGGGAAGACAAGTAATTTCGAAGATGAACCCTTGATAAGAAAACTATACCTATATGATCTGTATGTTTATTGTTTCCGTTAGAAAAACTAATCGATATGCTAATGTTGCAAGTGATGTTCCGAATCAGGTTTCGGTTCATGGTGGTATCGGACACGATACAAAGGATCATGCCTCGTCCCGAAGATCGGGATGAACATCGAAGCCAGGCTCTTGCCTTCAAAGAAGCTGTTCTACTGACCAATCCATCCAATCCAAGCCTTAAGGGAGAGGTTGATGACAAGTACCAATATTCTACCGAGAACAAAGACAACAAGCTTCACGGTTGGATATCCGATGACGATGCTGTCGGTTTCTGGGTAATAACTCCAAGCAATGAGTTCCGAAACGGTGGCCCGCACAAACAGGACCTCACTTCTCATGTTGGTCCGACTGCTCTTTCGGTAAGTCCTTTTCAAAAGGCAACACAAATATTTTTACAATGTTTATCTTGAAATTTGATTTGATTCAATTTATTTTCATGATTTAGATGTTTGTTAGTACACATTATACCGGAACCGAAATGGATACATTTTATAAGCAAGGAGAGGCCTGGAAAAAGGTTTTTGGTCCGGTTTTAATCTACCTTAATTCCGCGTCTTCAAAAGATGATCACAGCAAGATCCTCTGGAATGATGCTAAGAGACAGGTTTTTAATCTTATCTCAGCGACTCGCCCATGTTTTTTTTTATTATTGACATTTTAAAATGACAAATTATAATTTTAGTCCCTCTGTTATGTTTAAATTTGAGATGTAATCCTTATATTTAAACTAATTTAAAAAAATATTTGGTGCAATTAGTTGAGTGAAGAAATTGGAAGGTGGCCTCATAATTTCACTCGATCAGAAGATTTTCCTCACTCTGAACAACGGGGACAAGTTAATGGGCAATTGCTAGTGCGAGACCGGTATTTGTTTAGCTCTTCTATTTTGGTCATACTTCGTCTAATTCAATTGAGTGTTGCATAAAACTTATCTTTTAATTTTCTGGGCGTTTAGGTACATGGCTAAGGAATTAATGCAGGCGAAATCCGCCTTTGTGGGGCTGGCTGCCCCTGGAGCTGCAGGTTCATGGCAAACAGAAGGAAAGGTTAATATCATGAACAAATTTGCATATAGAATAAAGTTAAAACCATACATCCTCAAACTTATGATCTAAGTTTCATATTGGTCTGCTTTGTCTTCAGGGCTACCAGTTCTGGACTCAAACTGACAATAGTGGCCATTTCAGTATAAAAAATGTCCGACCAGGGGAGTATAATTTGTACGCTTGGGTCCGTGGTTTCATTGGGAACTACAAATTAGACCTGAACATCACTATCCAAACAGGTAAAATCTAGATTATTAGTCTCATTGTTTTGTTTTTCTTTTCCCGTTTGAAATTCTTCCCTTAAAGAATGTCTAAATGCAGGAAGCAAGATCGAATTGGGTACACTTATCTATGATCCTCCAAGAAATGGCCCCACATTGTGGGAAATCGGAGTTCCCGACAGGTCGGCGGCCGAGTTCTTCATTCCCGAACCATCCCCACAATTCATGAACTCAATTACCAAAGATTACACTGACAAGTAACCATGATCAAACACCCTCTTTTGTCTAAGATATCATCACAAACTCCATCAACTTACTGTTAGTGTTGTTTACAATTAACAGGTTCAGACAATACGGATTGTGGGATCGGTACTCAGATATTTATCGTGATGGTGATCTTGTCTACACTGTGGGCACAAGCAGCTACTCGAGGGATTGGTTCTTTGCTCATGTTCCAAGGTATCATTTTCAACATGCCAATCCTTCGACATCCTTGTATGTTTTCCATGGTGTTTCGTTGTTTTAATTGTCTGGTTTTTTCAATTATAGGCAAACAGGGAACAATACTAGCAGGGCAACGACATGGCAAATCAAATACAATCTCCAAGATGTAAACGAGAGAGGAACTTACACTCTCCGATTGGCATTGGCAGCGGCTTCTTATGCTGAAGTACAGGTATGAGTCTCGGATCATTTTTCATCATTTTATCAGAGGAGTCTTTAACTTACTGATGAATTCTTTATGAATGCAATCATAGGTTCGATTCAACAATCCGAATGCCCGCCGACCTTATTTTACTACCAGAAGAATCGGTTACGATAATGTCGTACCAAGGCATGGAATTCATGGACTCTACAGATTGTACAGCATTAATGTACCTGGATACAGATTTCGTGAAGGGGACAATACCATCTATCTAACTCAGACGAGAAGCAGAAACTCTTTTGAAGCGGTTATGTACGACTACATTCGATTAGAAGGGCCTAGCAGTTAGTCAATTAGCTATGATATTCATGTGCAGTTAGGAAGTTCTTTTTATTCTTTTTTAGGTCATAGGCGGTGCTTAGGGAAATGCTGTAATTGAAGCCTGATTCAGGCTAAAATTCATACAATTAAATTAGTTCATTTATTCAATGACTAATTCATTTATTTTATCTGTAATCCATTACATGAAGTCTAAAATGAAATATATGGGGACTGGTGTTTCCAGTTTTTATGTCTAAAAAGAGGGTACGAAGCATTACCAGGTGGCCTTCAATGTGTTACCGATGTCAATGACAAATCGGTACTTGACATCGGCTTTGAGAAGGCGATCCATGGCAGTGTTCACATAATCCATAGATATAACTTCAATGTCTGCTTTTATGTCATGTTTTGCTTTGAAATCAATCATTTCCTGAGTTTCCTTCATCCCTCCGATCATGCTTCCTCCTATTAACTTCCTCCCTGTCGGTTTTCATGTCAAATTATACCGCTTTTCATGTCATCGAGTTATGAATTTATCTAGTTTGGTTTCAAAGCCAGATCTCAAGCCTAATTGGATTGGATTGTCAGATCTTTCGGTTCTAAAAGGGTTGGTTTGACATGAGTCATTTATACCTTGGTGGTAAGTGGTCTTAAGCGCAGGTGCGGTGTGTAGTTGTGATATGTTGAATGTCTGTCTGTTTTAATTCTTTAGTTGGTTTAGAATATGTTTGTTCGTGTATTCAGTTGTGTTGTAGCTTTACCTAGTTGTGTTTTATTCTTTTCCTTCAATTAAGTTTACGGAGGTTTTTAACGAGGCATGCAACTTAGGTTTCGGGATTGATTTTTAATCCTTAATAAAATGATATTGCCTAGAAGAAGAAAAAACACGGGAAGATGATTACAACTCAGAACTTAAAGATATATTACCTTGGATCAAATGAGATGCAGGCAACTTGAAGGGTTTCTCTGCAGCTCCAAGAACCACAAGCTTCCCGTGAGACTTCAACAGCCCAAGCAAAGGCAACAATGGGCGTTGACCGGATACAGTATCGACGAATCCATCAAATGTGCCATTGGCAGCCTAAAACATACATGTAGTGGATTTAAAAACTACTTCACACTAACAAAGAAAATGAGAAAAAGATTGTGATTTAAAGACTTATCCCGAAGCTGATCTTGGTCTCGGCTAACCAAAACTGAATCTGCACCAAGATTCTCCAAAGCTTCCTTTTGCTTACCAGGAGACGTGCTGATGACTACTTTGGTCCCCATTGCCTTAACAAATTTCACAGCTAAATGGCCTAGCCCTCCCAGTCCAACAACACCTACATGCAGGCCAGGCATATCCAGTCCATAAAAGCTCAATGGACTATACACTGTGATTCCGGCACAAAGAAGAGGGGCGGCGGCATCGAGAGGCAGGTTCTTCGGAATTCCGAAGGCAAAGTGTTCATCGACAACCATAGTGTCGGAGAAACCTCCATATGTAACACTCCCGTCATAGTACTTTCCACCATAGGTAAATATCATTTTGGGACAGTAATTCTCAATATCGTCGGCGCAATTATCGCAAGAATTGCATGAACCGACCATGCTGCCGACTCCAACTCTATCTCCAACTTTGAAATTTTGAACTTCACCAACAATCTCATGCCTGCATTTTGAGACCATCTAGCTAAAATATTTGCAACCAAGTAACGAAAATGTGCATGAGATTGAGGGGCAAAATGAGTTAACGGGGACAATTAGAGATACCCAGGGACAAGAGGGTAAATGGAAATGCCCCAATCGTTTTTGATCATATGAAGATCAGAATGACATATTCCACAATATGGCACCTTGAAAGCAATATTTTTTTACAAAATGGGTAATTAGTGAGCGGATGAATACAAGATAGATAAAGTCTTAAACTACCCACTACCTACTATGATTTTTAACATTCACACTCACCCGCTGCCTACTAAATTATACTCATCCTCATCTCAATTGAAACGAATACGGTGTACAATCCATGAAATTATACCCATATGTCATCCTACAATGGCTGCCCATCCAAAGGCCTGTTGGGGTTCGCTTCTTCTGGTACTCTTGTCATTGTTGGACACTTCTGTTAAAGTAAAAAATGCTCACTACATTTTTTTTATTATATACAGTTTTATTAAGGGTAAAGTATAAAAATAGTCTCTGAATTTTTAAGGTGATTGCATTTTAGTTACCCAATTTTTAAAACTTATAATACAGTTACCAAACTTTTTTAATTCATTTTCAGTAAAATCCTTACATTATCTTCAGTTAATTTTATCTGGTGACGTGGAAACTTCTTCTTCTTCTTACTAAGCCACCAACTCATGCTCCTCCACCCAAAATACCACCCAAGTCACCAACTTATCCTCCTCGACCCAACCCAGATAACATCCCTCATCTCCTCTAAAAAAACCTGCAGTTTTCCACATCTAAAGTAAGCACTGAATACAAATAGGAGCTAGAAACCAGAACCCTGAGCCTTAAATTTCATTGAGCCTCAACACAAAAATTGAAAACTACAGCAACATCAAAAACAAAAAAGTCAAAAAGTTAACAATTTTGCAATGCGAAATTACAACTCAAAAGCAACTAAATCAAGCAAACCTCAAGAAGAAATCAGTATCTTTAACTACTCCTCAAGCCTTGATAATACAATAAACTCGATAACAATATAATCAATAGCTAGCAGAGCATTCAAAAAGGAAATCAAAGACCGTAATTTTGCTGGAAAAATCAATAAAAACATGACGATATTTTTTTTGAAACAACAAAACCCGTCAGAGGTCGCATCTTTTTACTAACGTAGTTGGTCGGCCATGGGTTGGGATATCCAGAATGTCTAAAGTTTCACATTTGAGAACTTTAAACAACCATGTTTCAGATATCGCTTAAACCCCATTAATCGTCATAATTCAACTCATGATTCCCACTTTAAAAGTTATAAATTAATAAGAAAAAAAAAAGCTCACCTTCTAAAACAAATTGACCACTTCGGTTTATACTTTGAAAGGAGGATCTGAATCCAGAAAAGGAAAAGGCTTCATGCGAGGTTTAAAACCAGAACCAATAGATCTATGGATCAATCACAACAAAAGAGAGGGGAAAACCAAAAATCTACTTTAGGTTTTGGGTTTTGGTTTCAACTAGTGATGAGATAATTGAAATAGAAGAACAGACGATATAGAAAAATTGAAATGGACGAGTTTTTTGTTTCCCTTTTGTTTTCTTCATTATTCTTCAAAAAGATGGTCTTTTACTCATTTTATATTGTAAGATTTGAGGTTTGGCTCCAAACAACTTATTAAAAAAATCTTTCTTTTTCCCTCTCTATTTGTTTCTATCCCTTCTAATTCTCAACAGACAAGACTCATTAAAAAATGGCAAAGCAGAGGTCCATTTTTGGACTCCACACTCTTATTTATTTATTTATTGAAAATGGTGATTTTCCCCGAAAAACATCCTGACCAATTTATTTACCTATCAAATATCCTTTCATTTTTATTTCTGGATCTAACATTATTTACAAGAAGGGTGACTCATGTACCGCGTCTTAGGCTGATGTGGCGCCACGTGAGGTAAGGCACGATACATGCACCATGCCTTGTGAAACGTGTAAAAAACTCGAGTGTTAATTTTGTGAATATTTTTAAAATGGTGTCTAATATGTAATTAATTTCCATTAGAGTGATATTTGTGTAAAAATATTAACTTTATTAATTATTTTTTTGTGTGAAAAAAAAAATTCTACATTAAAATCTTCAAATATTCTTTTGCAAATTATTTTATACTCGACAAATTTTAATTTTTACATGAAATTACACAATACGTATAATTTAGTATATGAAAAATTTGAGGGTAAGTATTTTAAAATATGAATAATTTTATAAAAGTTTTATAATTAGTATTTCATTTACAAAATAATGATAATAATAAATATTTTATAATTTAAAAAATTATAAATTTCATCTATTTTTAAAAAATTTATTGAATTTTAAAATTAATTGTTTAAAAATATTAAATAAAATTTTAATTAGAATTGAGGGATTAAATAAATTATTATTCACTAATTATTATTTTTTAACAACAGTTGATAATGTTTTTTTATTTTTAATAAAATTATTTTGATTTTTGCTTGAAATTACACAATATGTATAATCTAGTATACGAAAACTTTGAGGGTAAGTATTTTAAAATATGAATAATTTTATAAACGTTTTATAACTAGTAATTTTTTACAAAATGATGATGATGATGATAAATATTTTATAATTTAAAAAATTATAAATTTCATATATTTTTAAAAAAATTATTGACTTTTAAAATTAAATGTTTAAAAATATAAAAAAATATTAAAATAAACTTTTAATTACAATTGAAAGATTAAATGAATTATTATTCATTAATTATTATTTTCTAACAACAGTTAATAATGTTTATTCATTTTTAATAAAATCATAATTTAATATTTATTTTATATTTTAAAGAATATTTTAAATAAATATGTGATATTTTTTATTTTTATATTCTTTTTTTACTGAATTTTATTCACTTTTAATTCTTTTTTATTGTATTTTTATTGATTTTTTAAAAAAAATGAATAATAATTCATTTGATCTCTCAATTGTAATTAAAAGTTTATTTTAGTATTTTTATATTTTTAAACAATTAATTTTAAAAGTAAATAAACATTATTAATTGTATCACACACAAAATAATAAATAAAGTTGGTATTGTTACACAAATATCACTATAATAGAAATTAATTACATATTAGAGACCATTTGAAAATTATTTACAAAACTAGCACCTAATTTTTTACACTTTTTAACGGTCGCGGTGTATAGGCCACGACTCCTGCCTAGGGTTGTAAATAAGACGAGACAGATCGTGAGCTATTTGAGATCGACTCGATCAAAGCTCGATAAATACTCGGATCGAATGGACTCGACTCGAGCTCGAGCTCAACTCGAGTTCTTAACGAGTTGAAACGAGCTACTCAATATTCGACTCGAAAAGCTCGTGAACAGCTCAAAAATATAATATATTAAGATTTTATTTAAAAAAATAAATTAATATTAATATTATGTATTTATTTATTTTTTTAAAAATACAGTAAGATTTCATGTATTTAGGGTTTATGTTCGAGTTCGAGTTTGAGTTTGAGTTTGAGTTTGAGGTTTCAATCGAGTTAAGTTTAAGAAATTTTTTTTCATTTCGAGCCTTTTAGAGCTACTCACGAGCTTCAGTTCAGGATTTCGAGTTCGAGTCGAGCTTGAAAATTTTTAGCTCGCGAGTTTTTCGAGTCGAGTCGAGTCGAGCTCCATTTCAGAGTTTTCGACTCAAGTCGAGCTCAGCAATACTCGAGTTCGACTCGGCTCGTTTACACCCCTACTCCTGCCACGTGTAAGACGCATTGCATGAGCCGAGTCTTTCTGTAAAGGGTGTTAGATCAAAAAATAAAGACGAAAGGATGTCTGACAGAAAAATAAAGTTAATCGTGATTTTTGGGGAAAATTGCCATTGAAAATAGGGCCCTTAATCCGGAAACAGAGAGTGTGGTGCTTGGGTGGAGGAGGATAAGATGGTGACTTGAGTGGTGCTTTGGATGGAGGAGCATAAGTTGACGGTTTAGTAAGAAGGAGAAGGAGAAGGAGTTGCCACGTGAGAGAGTGATCGGAGATAACTATCAGATAAAATAAATATGAGATAATAGTAGAGACTTTTTATTATATTTAATATCCTCATTCTCAATCACTTTCATCACACCAAATCCTCTCAACTTCTCTCAAATACTCTTATATTCTATTTTAACTATTTAAGGTATATTTTATTATATTTAATATTTTGTTTTTAATTTATTTAAGTATTTAAATTTTTAAATATTTTATTTAATTAATTTTTTTGCAGATATAAAATGGAAGGAGATCCACTTCGCTTGGATGAAAATCATATATCGCGACATTTTGCTGATACGGTAATATTTTAATGTTTTAATATAATTTAAATTATTAGTAATAATTTATTTATTTATTTAATGCATGATTATTAGTTTAAAAATTAATTTTTGTAATTATTTAATTTTAGGAGAGAGACCGTGTATTAGATCCTTTTATTAGGAACCTTAAGTTAGTGATATATAGTCTTGTCTTGTCGTATTTAGTAGAGGCTGGATTCAGTCACATAGGTAGATATGAGGTTCACTGTAAGATAGAATCAGACCTTATTGTTACCTTAGTGGAGCGGTAGAGGCCGGAGACCCACACATTCAATCTTCCGTGCGGAGAGTGCACGATTACACTTGAGGATGTTTCTATGCACCTGGGGCTTCCGGTGGATGGAGATGTGATATCGGGGATGGCGCACGGTTCATGGACTGCTTTGTGACGGGACTATCTAGGACGTGTCACAGAAAGTTTTAACGGTGGTCGGATACTGTTAAATTGGTTAGATGTAAATTTTCGGGAGTTGAGCGAGGACGCCTCTGATGATGAAGTTAAAATGTATGCACGGGCATGCATACTGCAGCTGATAGGAGGGTTGCTGATGCCAGACAAATCACGCAACCAAGTTCACTGTATGTGGTTGCAACATCTTGGCGACTTTTGTCTGGCCAGATCACTCAGTTGGGGCTCGGCAGTTTTGGCTTT